CTATGAAAAAAAAAAAAAAAAAAAAAATCATAAAAAAAACCCCAAAAACAACCCAAGATATGAATTTGGTTTTGCACCATTTGAGGTCTATCTGTATTAAAGAATAGTGACTAAAGCAGCATCTGAATATGTCTATGACAATTATCCTCAAGAGACCACTTAATCATAGTCAACGTTTTTTGTCGGCCTATCTTTAGTACTGTTGCTGACGTATGAACATGGATCACATGGTACCGAGGTCTTGATAACACTCCAGTAATCTTGCCTGTTGAGGATACTGTAACTTGACAGATCTAAGGAAAGAAAAATATCCTACCCACGTAATAAGAGGATGACACAGTTTTACCTGCGTCAATAGCTGTTACAAGCTGAGCTACTTACCTGCCAAACTTTTGGTTTTTCATGTGGTTCCAGGCAGCTCGAGTCACTAAGAAAGAGCCTCTCAAGTGAACTCTTTGAATGAGGTCTGTGATGCAGAGTAAGAGGAAAAACACAAGTAAACATTAATGCATAACAATACACATCTCTGATATTTAGCATTAGAACGGTGTGGTTCGAAGCATATGGCAGGTTTTAAACACAATTTAAAACATATTGATCTACATATATCATTGTGAGGTAAATATAAGAAGACACACAGGTAATCAAGTAAATATGTAATTAAAGTGTAATTACCCCAATCCAAATCACTCGTCCTGGCAAATGATCGGTCACGAAGTATTCTTGGTAGGGAAAAGCAAAGAAAGGGTTTTAGCATTTTTTTTCCTGCATTTAGATTTTATCCCCCCTTTTTTAATAAGCCAATATTACATGCTGAAATGAATCTGGAAACTGCAACCAAATGGCCATTCTAATAGCACATGATACGAGTAAACATTTTTTTAAATAATAAATAAAAAAATAAAATGTGTGATAGTTGCTATTAGAGGACTTACCCAGCATTGTTTACAACAACATCTGGAAAAAAAAAAGTAAGATATTAAAGTCAGTGAATAACTGTAACGACATTGCTGACAATCATTTTATGATCATTTCGTAAATCAGTAGTGACAGGTATCAGCACTAGTGGCCACAGGATTTCCATAGAAGGTTTATACACACCTATTCTTCCAAATGCATCCAATGCTGTCTGGATCAGCTTCTCTCCATCTTCTACAGAATCTGCATAGACATAACAAAACTGTCATTTTTCACAGTTTTACATTCTTTCTTTCTTTTTTTTCTTTTTGAGAAATTGGTCTTAAAAGATTGTTTCTTGTTAGCTTTAGTTCAGGTTGTACTTCAAAGTGAGACTAACCGAGTTCAAAATCTGAGTTTTTCATGTCACAAAAGTGACTATTTCCCCCCTCGGTACAATCACAGCGATAACTTATGTTGAATATATGAATATATAATCTAGTTGGGAATTTTAGGTTAAAATCGACTGGAATCAGCATTTTTTTCACCAAATTTAATACAGATGCTCTGCTGGGTTAATACATTTTATATGTACAAGTTGTTAAGCAGCCTACCTTACGTATGTCATGAATGAAGCTCAGCTGTAAAGTTACATCAGTGTAAACCATCAGATTTATCAGATAACATAATTAACTCGAGTTAAACTGTTTATTTTACCTCTCTGTGCACTAAATCCAAAGATTAATGATTTTCTGCAGCATTAATTTCCTGTCTTATTTGCAAGATGTTGCATTTTACTGCTTTATTTTTATTTTATTTATAGATGTTGTCACCTTTTTTTTATTATCATCATGTGATAATGATCAGAGCAGGCAGCAATTTGTGCAGAGGAAGAGTCAGATGACATGTGAAAAGTCACTTTTTATGTTAGCACTCACAGAGGCTGAAGCAGGAATCCGGGCTTAACAAAGAAAGTTGATAACCACTGTTGCAGTACCCGTTATCTACAGCTGGGGTTTTATCAAGCTAGCTAACGCAAAGAAAGCCTGACTATATTGAACTTCCTTTATAGTTGGCTCATAGTTATATATACAGAAGCAATGAGCAGATTTGGGAGGCATATAAGAAACTTTTATAGTGATAAAGATTATAGCCTCACTCTTCTTTCAAGTTTAAGTATTGATGTGATGTGTGGCAAAAAAAATGGACAAAAAGTCAACATTTAAAATTGCCAATAAAACAGAGTGATTGTTTTGTTTTCAAAAACAATTTTTTTCTCCTAAAGGTGAGACACATCTTCAATACTCACCAACAGTTTCATCACTGAGCAAGTCCAACTGATAGAAATCAATACTATTTTTCACTCAGCCATTACATGAACTAAATACGTGAAGCAAGCAGAAGAGAAGAGAAGAACTCACCATAGTTCGCCACTGCCTTGCCTCCCTTCGCTCTTATCTCTTCCACCACCTTATCAGCAGCTGCAGAACTCTTTCCGCCTCCTTTAGTGTCTGCCCCAAGGTCATTCACTTTATTGCAAGGAGGAGAAAAAGATTAGCAATAATGGGGTGAGTTTTGCAATTCTCCATGAGTGATTAGGTTAAGAAAACAGCATAGGCAAGCTGATTCCTTGACAGAGTTAAGATCAAATTCAGTCATGGCAGGAGGAATATACTGAAATTTGAAAATATTTATGCCTGCAACTGTGTAATTTTAAGAATAAAAGAACCAACAGTCATAATGCAAGCTTCTTACCGACAATTTCAATATAATTTATCTTAGTCCAACTTCTCCCTCCACCAATTCTGTGTAGCACCTCAATTCAGGACATTTGTTTCAGAAGATCTGTTGCGCCCCACATTTTTGGAACCAACTGTCATGTGTTTCACTTAGTAGTATGGAAGTCAGTCGCAGTCTCTTAAAACTGAATCAGTGAATCCCAAATCAACTCAACGTCAGCCTGGAACGCCACTAAACCAGCAGGTATTTTCACCAGTATGTCATACAGATGCAGCAATCTGCACGTTTTTGCTCATTTCAGGTAAAAACCAGGTGGTGCTTTAGTGTAGTCAGCAGCAAGTGATATGAACATAAAGTGGTATAAACTTTATGTTCAAACTGTGAACAGGATATATGAAACTAGCTGGATCCATGCGGAGCTAGTATCATATTGTATACCAATATGATACTCACTAATATTTTTTTAAATTAAAAAAATAAAAATACAGCACTGAGAGACCACAATTTCCCCCAAAGGGCAAGGTCTATATTTACAACTTTGATGTTTTATGATTCTGACATAACCCTATTATGGCATCATATTGAAAAAATAAGAAGTGTGTTGTACAGCTCTCTCCATGCCCTTTCATGTGATATATTACTCAATATGGTTTCTTTAAAAAAAATTTAATGGTCAACTTCGACCTTGGGGAGTAACAATAAAGGTCAAGGTCAAATGCTTAGCCAACCAAGGTA